TATATTTTTAATATTTTGAAAAGTTGGGGGATTAAAATGATATATGTATTAATTCAATTTTATTTGGTTCAACATTTAGATTTCAATGGAGCGAAAACAAGTATATCAATATTGGACTTGTTAGATAGCTCATATTTAATCATCTATTTTAGGCTTGAGAAAAAATCGATTCGGATTAATTAACTCTAAGATATCGCAATTTGAAGAGGTTGTTAAAAACTAATTTCTTAATTCAATTAAAACTTTGGATGTAAATGGAGCCGTACCACATGTATGGACATATTTTATTTTTGATTTTGAGATGTATGGGTTAGGTGACTCGTGTTGGGTTGTTGGGGATAAAGTTTTTTTTTAAATGATTTGGAGTACTTTCATTGTGAAATATGACACTTTTTAATTTTACCATAAATTCATCTTCCGTTTCAACTTTAAATATCGTAAAGGAGGTTTTATTATTTGCACAATAGAATATATAGATACACATACATGCAGCAAATAAGAGAAGAAAGATTTAAAACGTGATTTTGGTATTACCTTTCAAGAAATTATTTGATCTAACGAGGTAGAATAACGAGGTGCAGTTTTTTTTATCCCATTTAAATTTTTTTTTCCGTGTTGTTGAATTATTATACTTATGAAAGTTAAAGATATGATATGATATATATGATATGACCATCCGGTATCAAAGATATGATATGTTCTAATCTCTTATCGGTCCCTAAAGATATGATGACGGTATGATATTTTAGACGCGTGATTTAAATATTTTTATTTGGGATTGCATCATTATTTTCATGTCCTACTGAATATTCCTATATACTCATCCTTTTCCCTTACTCATTACAGATTAGAGCATGTCGTTGGTTGGCAACAATAAGATGCAATCGTGGTACAAAGATTTATGAAACTCAAATAAAATAATTCGGTGTAACGAGACATTTTTAATTTCAGCATTCATAAGGACTTTTATTTAGAAATTTAAGACATGATTTATCGGGTTTTAAATTTTAATCTGTGTCAAGCTACATTAGTGGAGTTAACATTTTATTATTTATCTAATAAATGTGATATGCATGATTTTTAGCATTTATCTGGAATATATTTTATTTGGTTATGAGTTTTTTCTATTAATTAAATTGTGCTCATTAATTTCATGTGTTTACACTATTGAAATAAATAAATTTGGTAGCAAACTAAATCTTAAAATTTGGATCGTTACAGTTTGGTATTAGAGCTTAAGTTTTACTTTTCTATAGACTCATATAAATTCTAAAAGTTCAAATCGAACCGTGTTTAAAAAAAAAAAAAAAAAAAAAAAAAGAGAGGAAAAAAGGCCATTTTATTTCATTTGATTATTGTTTCTAGATAATTTAAAGCTACAAAATTTACATCCCTTATTTTAATTTTCAAATTTGTCTCTGTTTTCTGGTTAAATTAATCATATTCGAGCTCCACGATAATCATTGGATGATTCGATTGGGAGAAATTCAAAATTACTCTTGAAGGTAAGCATTTCTTTTTGTTTCAGTTTTTTATGAATTCTTTATGGGTTTATAAAACTGGGTTCAGGGTTCTTACTAGAAGTTTTCATTGATTCTTTTTTTTTAGTCTCCTATATTTCTGCGGTAGGTTTTTATTTGAAGTAATTTTTGGAGCTTTTGGAGTTCTTTATTCATATTTGGAAATCGACGTTTTAAGTGTATATGCATGACCGAATGAAATTTTGAACTGTATTTATTTTTCATATTTCAACTTCAGGTTTTGATTTGTGTTTTTTAATTCATTTGATGTTTAGTGAGTTGGGCTTTGTATAAAGTGCGAATCAGGCTGATTCGGGCTTTCTTTTGGAGTAAGAATATGGGGAAGCCTACTGGGAAGAAGAAAATTCAAACAGGATCAAAATCCAATGATGGAAATGCGAAACAAACCAAAGCTCAGGATCGCAACTCGAAAGCATTTGATGAAGACACTGCTATCTTCATTAACATGTCCCAAGAGATGAAGGAAGAAGGCAACAAACTGTTTCAAAAACGTGATCACGAGGGTGCTATGTTGAAGTACGAAAAGGCCCTCAAATTGCTCCCTTCTAATCACATTGATGTTGCATATCTACGTAGCAACATGGCGGGATGCTACATGCAAATGGGTATTGGTGAGTACCCAAGAGCAATAAACCAGTGCAATTTGGCACTTCACGTTGCTCCCAAGTATAGCAAGGCTCTGTTGAAGAGGGCAACATGTTATGAGGCCTTGAATAGGCTTGATTTGGCGTTGAGAGATGTTAATAACGTGTTGAGCATGGAACCAAATAATTTGAACGCTCTGGATATTGCAGAGAAGGTGAATAAGGCGATTGAGGAAAGGGGTCTAAAAAATGAAGAAAAAGAAATGGATTTGCCCCCTGACCATGCTGAGCCTCATCAAGCCTCAATTTCTGGTAAGGTTGCCAAAGAAAAGACAAAAAAGAGGAAAAGCAGTAAGTTCGAGAAGAGAAGTGTTGAGGAAGAACCTGAGGATAAGAAAGTCGATGAAGTCGAGGAAAAGGAAGTCGATCTAGTTGAGGAAAAGAAAGTCGATGAAATCGAGGAAAAGAAGGCTGAGGATAAGGTGGTTGTAGAAGAGAAGAGAAGTGTTAAGGAAGAGAAGGTCGTCATGAAGACTGTGAAATTGATTCACGGAGAGGATATAAGATGGGCTCAGATACCTGTTAATTGCAGCATTAAACTTGTGAGGGATGTAGTTTTGGACCGATTTCCAACTTTGGAGGGTGTACTTATCAAGTACAAGGATCAAGAAGGCGATTTAGTTACAATCACAACAAATGATGAGCTGAGATTGGCGGAGGCATTAGCTGATCCTACTGGTTTTCTGAGACTGCACATTGCAGAAGTTAGTCCCCATAAAGAACCACTTTATGAGGGAATGAGCAGTGAAGAGAGAATGCAACAAACCAATGGGAAACCAACTACTTTTACAGAAAACAGTAATGGGGAGAAAGGGCTGACTTGTGTTGAGGACTGGATTTTCCAATTTGCGAGGCTCTTCAAGAATCATGTTGGGTTTGATTGTGATTCATACTTAGATCTTCATGAAATGGGGATGAAGTTATATTCAGAAGCAATGGAAGACACTGTTACAAGTGACGATGCACAAAAAATCTTTGAAATTGCTGCAACGAAGTTCCAAGAGATGGCCGCTTTAGCATTGTTTAATTGGGGAAATGTTCACATGTCTAGGGCGGGGAAGAGGGTGTCCTTTACAGAAGACAGTTCTGGGGAGTCGGTCTTAGCTCAAGTCAAAATGGCATACGATTGGGCTCAAAAGGAATATGTGAAAGCTGGAATGAGGTATGAAGAAGCTCTAAAAATTAAACCAGATTTCTATGAAGGTCTTCTTGCACTTGGGCTGCAGCAATTTGAACAAGCAAAGCTCTCTTGGTATTATATAATTGGGAGCAAGGTCGATTCAGAGATGGGGCAATCTGCGCAGGTCTTAGAGCTATTCAATAAAGCCGAGGATAGCATGGAGAGAGGCATGCAGGTTTGGGAAGAGATAGAGGAACAGCGTCTAAATGGACTGTCCAAATCGGAAAATCAGAGAGCTGAATTGCAGAAATTAGGGTTGGATGGGCTTTTTAAAGACATGTCGCCTGATGAAGCTGCAGAACAGGCTGCCAGTATGAGGTCTCAGTTATACACCTTATGGGGTACTTTGCTGTATGAACGTTCTGTTGTGGAATTTAAATTGGGTTTACCAACCTGGGAAGAATGCCTGGAGGTTGCAGTTGAAAAATTTGGACTTGCTGGAGCATCAGCTACAGATATTGCAGTTATGGCTAAGAATCATTGTTCTAATGCAACTGCTTTAGAAGGTAATTATTAACAATTTTTTCTCTTTTCAATTTACTGTATATACTTTTATTTTTTCTATGAATATATTGGCATCTAAAATTTCTCACGATTGTTTAAATGCTGTGACATTAGGATTCAAAGTTGACGAGATAGTGCAGGCATGGAATGACATGTATGATGCAGATAGGTGGCGAACTCGTGCTGCATCTTTTCGCCTAGAACCATTGATCAGGCGGCGCACTCCCAAACTTCACTCTGTTTTGGAGCATCTTTAAGTTATCTTGCTAAAGATTGGCAATTCAATAGGGAAAAATATTGGTATTACTTCTTCACTGTTCAACTATTATAAAAATCTTTGTTATTATAGGTAATTTAACGCACCAATTTTTCTTTATGGAATTGATCTGGAACTTGATCCTTCTCTAGTATTCTGCAAAAAATAAAAAAATAAAAATAATATCATGTGATTGAAACAACATGATTTTTCCATGATCAATAAGAAAATCATGTATTATCTTTGGAACTAGTTCGGCAACGAAAATATTGAATTTCTGAAGGATAGAAATAAGTAATCAAATGGAGTCTCATTCTCTTGGTTCTCTATTCAAATCTCTTGCTGTGTGGAGAAATGGGGAACTTTTTCGTCTCATGTGACAATCATGAAGTGCGTTTACATGAATTTGACAAAGATGAATCATGATAGCGTATATCACTCAAAGACCAAAGATATTGAATATGTACTATGTAATAATAAGCGTATCTGTTCATCTTCTTGTTAACACAAATATGCAATTGCGTAATCATGTAGATTTTTAGTATTGGTATAATTTAGTACATATTGTAAGCTTTTCTCCAGTCTAATGGTAAACTATTTTGTTGAGCAACTTCTGTCTCTGTCGGGGTGAATTCTATAATTGATTTCTTAGAAGAACCATAGTATTAGAGAGGGCGAGAGATTACTTCTCAGGAACTTGGGCTTATGATCTCGTAAGTGGAATTGTTGTAAGCAGAACGAGTTTCGATTTCTGCAAAGAAGCTTCTTGCTCTGATAGCACCTTTTGGGTAAAACACGGGAAGGGTAGATTTGGAAAGTCCAATTGTATTTTCACCTAAACACGCAGACAACACCCCCTCATTGATTTCAAAGCATGCCAGTTCAAGATTTCTGTTCAGTTTCCCGAAGTATGTTCTTGATTGTAATAGTATAGACTATGTTTGGCTATTATTCTCCAGATTCTCATTGTCGAATTAATCGTCAGTTCTCTAAAAGAGTTTAGGTATCGACTAACTGCTGAAGTAGATGACCCCAAATTTATGTCAGAATTGCAATGGTATTTGATGCTTGCCATGTGTACGAGTTTATAATCTGATTTTCGTTTTTCCACTTGCACTATTTTTCTCTTTGACAGTGTAGCAATTTGTTATTCTGATGTAATTTGTTCGTATACATTTCTCGATCATATACTTGTTTACTGATCGCATTTGTCATGTATTCTTGCAGGTTTCTTCGTATATGTTTGTCTTTGTTTTGGTTGCTTGCTTATGGAAGCAAACAACGATTTCATCATCCGAGTGTTGCATTTTGGGTCAGATTGCTCGTGATTTAGTTGCAGAGCTTTTTATATCATTATTTTTCTCCAGTCGATGATTTTCTCAAAGGCTGAGGAAGTCTCAGTATTACACAATAAAATCGGTATTACAGTTGATTTTTTAAAGGTTTTGTGAGGGCTATTGTGTATTTACAGTTTGCATATTTGTCAGCTTGTTTTGATAGTGGGAGAAGCCTGAAATTTTTTTGCCTTTGTCGCATTTTATTATGATGATTAAAGGTTGACCTTTTCTCTTAGATCTTCTGTTAGATGATATGTTCACCACCTAAAAATTGCATCCATTTCGTCAATATATATTCCGCTAGTCACGGTGACTCTCAAATTTCGTTACATAGTCATCTTTTTTGGTATTATCAAATTGTGTTCCATTCCAAACTTCTCTAGAAATCTTCGGAAGATTCTCTCAATTAACTTGGATTTGAATGTTTCGAAATGGGATTGACAATTCAAATTGAGTATTTAGGGTCGATCAAAATTCAAATGTTGATCGCAAAAGAAAAATGATCCCCTTTGAAGATCAAAATAACTTGACTTTATAGCGATATATAAGAAGGGATTGGGAGTATTTTTTGTGTTCAAATTTTGTCGTCTTGAGTTATATTTTGGAGGTGTATTATGATTTTAATAAGATCTTTGGACTAAATAAAAAAGAATTAAAGGAAAAAAAAATACATGTTAGTTAACGCTAAAGATAAAATTAAACAGGATTAAAAACAAATTTAATTATAAATACTAAATATATATATATATTTATAGCTCCTTCAATTATTGATTCACCGTCACCGTCACCGTCACCGTCACCGTCACGTCGACTCCATCCAATGACGATGCACCGCAGAGTAGTATAAAATAACTTGCCCAGATACGTAAAGAAACGAAAATGTAAAAAGAGAGATGCTTATCGTTGCGCACTTTGCCTTGGTCAGAATTTAATCCATATATACAAAGCAGACTAATCGCACCGTTTTCTACAATACTGAGAAAAAACGATAATTTTTCGAGCTATTCGAAAGATGGATAAAATCAGAAGAGCATCTCACGCCGGTTCTTGGTACACCGACAATCGTAAGTCCCACAAATTTAGTTTCACGAAATTTCACCGCTTTTTATTCTACTTTGATCTTTAACTTCAAAATTATTTCTTGTTCATCATACTCTGTAAATTTTCCTTTTTGATTTCATCTCTTGAGAAGTTTTGACTGTAATTATAATTTACTCCAGTTTATAGTTTGGATGATTTTTTTCGTGGAAAAATTATATTTCTTTTTTCATTCTGGAGATTGTTGCTGAATTATTCTTGAAATATGGGATTGCTTTTTTAGGATTTTTAATCTGGGTATTATATAATTAAATTTTATTCTCTTAATTACTTTTGGTAGGATTGTAAATTATGCCTAGTGCCTACCAGTGATCATTTTTCAAGAAAATAATGATCTAGGTAGCATTTGCAATGGAATGCATGAGTGCGCTTGTGGGGTGTAAGAATTAGTTTATAGATAGTTTGGATTCATGTACAAGGCAATTTAACTCTGCTTATTTACTTTATAAACTCATTTTAGAAGAACGGTTAATGTTGCCTCATGTTTATTCATCAGCTAAGAAATTATCTGAAGAGCTAGATGGTTGGCTGAGTGAAGCTGGGTTGGCTAAGTCTTCCAATGTAAGAGGGGTAATTGCGCCGTAAGTCACCAAAAATCCTTGTTGTTACTTTGCTACAAATGTAACAATTCTGAGACTATTATACCTGGTGGCATTTATCCCACTAGTCATGCAGGCTATTCTTATTCTGGTCGTGCAGCAGCCTATGCATTTGGAAACATAGATCCTGCAAACATGTGGGTTTTCTCTCAGTAAAATTGAAGCTCACTTTTCCTTCAAAGTTATATTATCTAAAATGAAGTAATGATGTTTCACTAATTTGCTTGTCGACTCTTGAATGAATAAATTTAACTGCTCGGCCAATTTTAAGGAACTCTTTGTTTTGCAGCTCTAGGGTGTTTCTTCTTGGTCCATCTCATCACCATTACACTCTAAAATGTGCACTTTCAAGAGCCACAGTTTACAAGACTCCAGTAGGTGACTTATCTATTGATCTAGAAGGTATTATGAAATTCATCTTCTTTCATTTCTTAAACTATTCTGTAGTAATGAGCACTCATATAATGTCTTCTTTTTATATATAATCTACAAGACTTAGCAGTAACGCATGCTCTTCCTGTTCAAAGGAAGACGATTATAGAAGGATCACTTTGTCAATAAAATTGTAAGAATAGAAAAGAAAAGGTTTCTCTGGTTTTCTATGCTTAGTTTCTTTGAATTATAAACCTCCTATCCCATCTCCTGCACTCGATATCATAGAAGACTTGAATCATGGTTAGTATGAGATTGTTATTTACCATGTTTAAGTCTATTACATAATTGTTAACTCTTAATATAGGTGTCAAATGAGTACCTAAATGAATTGACCAATTGCAAGAACACCACTAACTGCACGGATGAAGACAGCGGCAATGGAATTGCATCAATAGTATTTCTTGTTGCCTGTGAGATAAATCAATATTAATGACCTGAGAGAGTGAACTATAGGTTCAAAGAACTAAGTCCTTTTTCAATATAATGCAGTTCAATGAAGGTTCAAAGAACTAATTTCAATATAATGCAGTTCAATGAAATAAGTTTCTTATAAAAGGAGGTAGAAGATGAAGTGTTGCACTAGCCTTAAGAAGTGGAATAGACAGTAGTTGATGGAGCATGTTTATGACAATGATGTGAATGCACATATGTTACTGATAGGACACCAACTAGAATGAACTAGAACAATTGCTGAATAAGGGACTTTTTATTGAAACAAGAACGAGTACAGGAAATGAAATGATAACAAAAGCCTATAGAAGGCTATAACCGAGAACAAGAACAGTAACCACTCCAATACTCTCTTAATAATCCCCCCTAATATGGCTAATTTCTGCCTATATTTATAGTCAACTTCTAACAAACCTTTCCCTCCAATTTCCCCTCTCTAACAAATTTTGGTATTTCCACCCCACTTGCGCGCTTTTCTTCTTCTGGGACCTTCCAGAATAGGTGGAGGTGGATAGGAGTCTATCAATACCCGCCGCCCCAAAATCCAACTTGCCCTCAAGGTGGAAGTTCGGCTTAATTTCAAAATTCAAAATTCCACATCGGTGGTAATCCATGTTTGGAGTAAGCTTATGGCAACTGTTAATTTGTGTAGTCAGCTGTCTACCCACCAATAAAATGTTATCTATACAAATTCCATAACCAGTTGGCCCCCCAAACGGAACTCCTGAAATTAGAGTTTGGATTGAAGTATATGTAGTAATCTTATAATTTGCTTGGGCTTGAATTATGGGTTCATTTCTATCCTCAACTTTTCTGGCCCACTTCAAGATATGGCCCATCTCCTGAAGCTTTAACATCTTGCCCTCAGTCCATATCATAGACTTCAACCCACCAAAAAAATTATTCTTCTTCCGTTGATACCGCATCAAAGCTTCTCCAGGTGGTAATTCAACTATTTGATTTCTGTGTTTAGTTAGTTGGGCCACCTTCATTTTAGAGCTCACCCCAATAAATTTGCTTGCCATGACCTCTTCCCGAATACCCACTACTGGTGCAACTTCAAAATATCTCCAGAACTCATCCATTTAACCTGTTTGTTCTATGTCTAGAAACTTCCCGCACAGACTTCCCTCTTGAGCTTGACGGAAATGACGAAGCAACTGTCGTCGGAATTGCTCCCAAGTGCTATTTGATTTCTGTGTTTAGTTAGTTGGGCCACCTTCATTTTAGAGCTCACCCCAATAAATTTGCTTGCCATGACCTCTTCCCGAATACCCACTACTGGTGCAACTTCAAAATATCTCCAGAACTCATCCATTTAACCTGTTTGTTGTATGTCTAGAAACTTCCCGCACAGACTTCCCTCTTGAGCTTGACGGAAATGACGAAGCAACTGTCGTCGGAATTGCTCCCAAGTTTGGGTCAGCCCAGTTCGCTTAACCCTCTCCATGTCTTCATTTACCAATTTGGGATCCAAATACTCCCTCAGTAGTGATTCTAGAACCTGGGATTGGTTCTCGGGTATTTTGCCTCCGACCGTCCCTAGAGAGGGGGAAAATTTATCCAGCTGCCATTTCTTCGATTCTCCTCCTTGTGGTCTCTTTAAATCATGAATTTTTTTGTCGTCTACGGAATTAATTTATTCCCTCCATGTTGCTACTGCCAATCCCTCATCTTCACGTTCGTGGTTCTCCCATCGAGTCATCAACTCACCCAATGTTTCCGTCACTGATATGTTCATCTCGCCCATTCTGAAAACTACAAGTATAGCACCCATTAAGATCCCAAAACCAGTTGGACCTGCAAAAGGCACTCCCAAAGTTTGAGTCCATTTATACAAAATTACATAGAGGGTTGTTCTATGACCGAGTTTGTACTTTGCATCGCTATGGTAACATACTCTTTTGTCTCTTTTTATCTACAAATTGACATCTATAAATTTCTTGAACAGAGGAGCTCCTTTGTTTGCCGTCGCTGGTCGTAAAAAGGAATTTTGCGGAGGATTTGGTTTTGATGGTGTTAGATTGATATGGTGTCTGGTGAGATGAGTTATGTGGGTGGACAGGAAAATTAAGAGAGTGTGGATTTGGACTTAAGGTATTAACTTTAGCTTTAGATGGGCCATAAAGTAGATGGGCTTGCTTCCTTACATGCCAATCTTCAACCCTGTGGACCAACTCACTCATCTGGCCCAAACCTTGAGGGATAAGCATTGGGACTTTAGCCCGTATTAGAGAATTGTACCCATTGTCGCCCTTTCCTTCCAGAATCTCTGATATCTTCAACGATGGTGCTGATAAATTCTCCAATAATTTGTCCAGTCTTCGGCTCTGCGACTGCATCTTCCCTATTCCTACCACACGGTGGTTCCGGCCGTCTATACTTGCTCCACTTTCCTCATATTTGGGCGGAATTTCAGAATCTAGCCATTGGGCTTGCCCCCTAATAATGCCCGTCCCCGTGGTTCTCATTGCACACAATTGCTCTCCAACACCTCTTTACGAATCGTTGGTAGTGGAGCCACCACAACCTCCAGAGTAGTCCCCTCCTCTCTAAAATAGCAGCTGGTCCGATAATGACCCTCCATCTCGGACAGGAGTTGCTTTCGATTTTCCAATCTCTCGGTCTCCTCACGATGCATATGCCCCTCTAACCCCAGTTGATAGGTACTGCCGCTGTCTAAGCTTCCAGATGTTGATGCAACTACTGGAAGGAACTCTAACACCCCAATAATGGAATCTGTTTGTTTCTGTGGTTGCTGCTTCAGATCCGAATGTTTACACACTGGGAATTCCTCCACCATGGAGTCCTCCTCGATAATTTTTACCTTTCCATTTTCCATCCTTTCCTGCCTCTGCTCATCCCATTTCTTCCCATTGCCGTACACTTCCACTCTGAAAATTCTTCACCAAAGAATCCCTCTTCAGACGAAATTGACCCAACATCAAACTCTTCAATTCTTCCCAAGTTTTCACTGGCCTTTGTCGATTGACCTGCTGAAACGAATCCCATGCGTCCCAGCCAAAACACGGTGTGGTAGCCTCTATTTTCTCAACTTCTGATAATTGATTTCTGGAGAAAATCTTCTCCGCCTCCGACACCCACCATTCTGTGTTTTCCCCATAGAATATTGGTATTTCTAGTCTTCCTTGAGCATCTAGTCCCGAATCTTTATCTTGGGCTACTTCCCTTTGCATTATCAGCTTCTCCAACCGATTGAAGATTGAGCTCCATCTCTCCTCCAATTGCTTGCTGAAATTTGCTTCCATTGGCTCTAGGATCATTGCTCTGATACCAATTTGATAGGACACCAACTAGAATGAACTAGAACAATTGCTGAATAAGGGACTTTTTATTGAAACAAGAACGAGTACAGGAAATGAAATGATAACAAAAGCCTATAGAAGGCTATAACCGAGAACAAGAACAGTAACCACTCCAATACTCTCTTAATAATCTCCCCTAATATGGCTAATTTCTGCCTATATTTATAGTCAACTTCTAACAAACCTTTCCCTCCAATTTCCCCCCTCTAACAGATTTTGGTATTTCCACCCCACTCGCATGCTTCTCTTCTTCTGGGACCTTATAGAATAGGTGGAGGTGGATAGGAGTCTATCAGTTACCTGCTTTCTTATCATGACAGTTACCACATGCTGCACATCGGTTGTTTTCTCGATCTTTTTTTGGGTGGATGGGGGTGTGGGAGGCAGAAGTTGGATGATTAGAGTAAGGTTCTTTCTGGTAGAGAAAAATTTTCATTCTATGCAAATTATTTCCCATGCAATCTGCAAATTGGGAACCTGTCTGACAGCTCCCCAGTCTACTTCATTAAATGTCCTAAGTTTTTAGCATATGAGCCAGCATTTTGCTGATTATTGCTGCACAATGTTTCTTTATAGCATTGCATATGATATTTGATCTGAAAAATTATCACTGGTTCCCCTTCATAATGCCATTTTATGCATCTGTGTATCCACATGCATGCATGTATTGACGTGTTCACAATGTTTGTTTCTAAAACTTCTTTTCATTTGTGTTTGGTCTTGTGCCAGTCAACGAGGAGCTAAAAGCTACAGGGAAATTTGAATTGATGGATCTTCATGTTGATGAAGCTGAACATAGCATGGAAATGCACCTGCCTTATCTTGCTAAAATTTTCCAGGGGTATGTTTTGTTGAAAATCTAAATTTATTTATTTATTTTTATCTCTCTGAGGCAAATATGTTGTATATGTTAATATAGGTACCCTCTAAAGATTGTTCCTATCTTGGTTGGTGCTCTTAATGCTGAAAATGAAGCCATGTATGGACGATTGCTAGCGAAATATGTGGATGATCCCAGGAATTTTTTTTCAGTGTCTTCAGATTTTTGTCATTGGGGTGCTAGGTACGTTCTGCTATGCTATAAAATATGGTTAGAAATTCAATTTAAATATTGTTTCTTCTTAAGTTTTACAGACTCATCAAATAATGATCCTTGACATTCATTGTTTCACTTATTATAAATGTAGCTTCTGGATTGTTTTGATACAATCCATGGCATGTACAATATTTTTCATAATTAATTTAACTAGAAATTCAGCTAAATGATTTTATTCATAAACAATCAACTGTATTTATTTTATAATAGTACAATCCAACCAATGAAATGAAATAAAACAATATACCTAACTATAGAAAGGAAAATAATAATAATTATAATAATAATAATAAAAACTAGAATATAAAAGTAAATAGAAAATAAGTGAAAATAGATTTTCTATATATAATTAGTTCTACTCCAACTCTCCCCTCAAGTTGGTGCATTGATATCAACACATGCCCAACTTGGATGGTGATGTATGGAATGACCCACCACTTGAAAACCGTTGCTGGATTTTAATTGCTACTCCAAGTATCATCCTCTTGGTTAGGTGGTCGAGCATGAGTAGTTACTTGAGATACATGAGAAACATGATCTGCAGGAAAAGACCAAGGCTATCCACAAACAGCACGCTCAAGAGGGTTGAAAGATCTTCAAACACAACTGAGGCCAATGGTCTGTCAGATACTTAGCCATACCAGTTGGCTATGTCAACCAACCTGAAGGATCCTACAGCTCTAAGAAATGTTGCTGGACGGGTTTTGACATCTGCAAGTAGAGTAGAAGGGTTGCACAAACTCACAAGGCATACCTGGTAGCTGGGTTGACTAAGATGAAGGGTCAAACTTCTCTAAGAAGGCAGCCGAAGGGTCCCAACAATAAAACTTGCAACAAATAGAAACTTCAGAGATTAACTTGTTCCAATTTGAAAGTTCAGGAATTTAATTTAATTTTTCAAAAGTTCAGTGACTAACTTGAAAATTTAGGCTGAATGATTTTATTCATAGACAGTCAGCTCTATTTATAAGAGGACAACCTAATCTATGAAAGGAAAGAAAAGAATATTCTTAACTATAGAAGAAAAAGGAAAAGGAAACAATAAAATGCTACCATAATTCCTAGTATGACATGAGATTAAATAGAAAATAAGTTAAATTCGAATCCTATTTATAATTAGACTTCTATTCCAACCGTTTACGTATAGACATCACGAAACTATTAATTGACGATTTATCTTCTCATAGTTTTATCAATTTTGCACCTTTTGAAAATTATCACAAGAATTTTCCAGACGTGAAATAAAGCAATGATGTCATTTAACAATCCAACAAATTTCAACCTTAGGAAAAGGAAACTGCAAAAAGTGCATAATAGATCTGTTAGCTGAGGTAAGACATGACCTTTAACAATTTATCACAGACTTGGCTCTTTCGAGCACCCCGTGTAGCACTTAGTTCCTCAGTTCCTTTCGATACTGTCTTTAGTTAAGTCAACCTCCATCAACTGGCGGTATTAGCAGCATCAGCTGGTGGGTATTTTAATTGGGGCAGTGTGCTACGCATGGCAAGGGAAATTAGCGCAAAGCAAACTTTTTGGTGGAGTAGGCAACGTCGGAGAAGCCGCCGACTGTGGATTGCAACTTGCACTGATGGGATTCCTCAAACGATATAGAGCCTATTGATTCTGGATCTGGTGTTGAGATGAAATATGATACAAATTATTTTAACCCATCAATCCTAATTTGTGGATAGTTGATTTTGGTGGGGATTATGATAGCCCGCCTCAATTTTTACATGGAAGTCGACAAGGATGTTATGAAAGAGTGTATAGAGAGACGAATAGTGTTGGACATTGGTGGTACACATTGGAGGATCTCTCTCTCTCTCTTTTTTTTATTTTTTTATTTTGTAAATATAAACCTGACTTTTATACCATAAATTTTTAGTAATCAACCATCAAATAGCATCAGATCGTTGCAAAAGTAAGTTGATTGACTGTATTTAATCCTCGTTGATCTTAGAAAAACATTACTGGTGTGACATAACCATCCTTACATATCAATACTTTTTCTACAATTATGCACTTCTTCATTAAGTTAGCGGACATTGTTTTATTTATTCCTTTGTGAACTACTACATTGAAACATTTATACTTTCACCTTCTTTTCCTCTTGCTAGATTCAACTACATGCATTATGACAAAAAACATGGAGCGATCTACAAGTCCATAGAGGCATTGGATCGAATGGGGATGGAGATAATCGAAACGGGAGATCCAGACGAATTTAAACAGTATCTGTTGAATACAGAAAATACAATTTGTGGACGCCATCCTATTAGTGTTTTTCTTCATGTAATTATCTTAAACTTTCCTATTTTCTGGTGCATGAGTAAGAAATACTTGCTTCTGAATTTTAGCTGTAATTAGAATTTACTGAAATTTGAGATGAGTTAGCTCCCTGTTGCCACCCACTTCTTCCCGTACTATTAAATGCTTCTATTGCTTAAATAGAAGTAAATAAGAATTCTAAAGCTCAAAATCTTCTAGCTTTAGGGAGATGGTTTATCACTTCTTTTTCTTTATTTTTATAAACTAGGGAGGAGGGTTTCACAGATAAGTTCCTTTTCAGAGTTCGACTGCCTCCATAAATTTAGTATTTTGTGATTTATTAGGCATATATCTCTATAAATGCACACTTGTTTGTGTATGTGAATGAATCTCTCTCTCTCTCCACGCATAATCACCTACGCATATACGTGCCAAATATAGATGTGTTTAGTTTCATGAATCGTTTGTATCTGGGTGAGATTTCTAGTGTTACGTCGTATATCATGTTCTTTAGTGGCATTTCATGCGTAGAATATGTATAAGATGTTAACTTCTTTCTTTTTCTTAGTAGTATTTATCTGTCTTCATTTCTCCCTATACTGAAATGCCATTATATTTTTGTTTGATTTTCTAACTACATGTCATCATTCAAATTTGGTTAGATGTTGAAGAATAGCTCAACGAAGATAAAGATTCAGTTCCTTCGATACGAGCAGTCAAGTCAGTGCAAAAGCACAAGAGACAGCAGTGTCAGTTACGCTTCTGCAGCGGCGAAAATTGATGCCTGAATTTGTGCAGGGAACACAATGTTTTATTTTCTCTGAAGGATTTTCATTCCCAATGCAATCGATCTGACTGTAATTTCTAATCTTTATTTACACCACCTCTGGAAATAACAAACCTTATATATGTTCCCTATTAAACTTATCACCAGGAATGGAATTCTCCAAGTTCTTTCTTTGGCTGTTCAAATCAAATGACTCATTTAATTTTAGAATCTCTTAAAGGTGTGAAGAATTGATTGTCTAATCATAATTTTTAATCTTGCTACATGTACATTAACTTTGATATCATGAATGACATTCTTGTGAGTTGGTAGTTTTTTATACATTGATTTTAACAACACTTTAAACAATCAATAGTACAGATTTTGATAACTCACACAATGTCAACAACAATGTCATCTAGGGAGGTATATCTAGATTAATTCCATAATTTTACTAGAGGGAAGACTTCAACGAGGCAACTTGATCAATATTGCCTTAACTTACAAGAGTTGAGTAGCTTTGTCTAGCCTATTTTTCTGCAAACAAGAATGCTGATTTTTTGGTACATTTACTGTTGGATAAATATAGTATAATATAAATCTATTTATTACAGCAAGAAGAAAGGAAAAATAGAAATAAAAAAATAGAGTGAAACAGCAAAAATATATAAATCGTTGAAACACTATAAATCTGCAAACCGATGCATGTGTATATACAGTTTCTTTAAAATAGATTCGCCCCCTTACCGTAGGTTCTTGAGGTTAGTTTGGACGTTTGTCTCTCAGAATCCAATAGCAGAACCTGAGCACTTCAATTTCTACTCTGGCGAAATGAATTTGTGCTAGAACAGTATCACCAAAACTTAGACGAAAATGAAAGATTTTTGAGTGCTGGAACTGGAAAAGCAAACTGAATATTATGCAGAAGAGTATTGCAATTTTTTCAGGTGTTGAATAGTGGAAAAAACGAGCTCAGTTGGAGAAAGCAAAAAAAAAATTGGCAACATGTGAACACTTTTAAAGGGCATTTTTTGCTCTATTTGATCCGACATTCAAATACGAAGGTTGCATTCGCATACAAATTCAAGACTCGATGTACAATTTTGATCCTTAATTTGCACCACCTTATGCACACTTACAGAGAGTCTCTATACTACACATGATTACATCATTTCAAAGTGTAATCATATATAAAGTGATCATTGCTTTCATCAATTTCCTATGTGAGATAAAATTCAATGTAAATTTTCTTTCACCATAAACTATTTTTCAATGTTCAGTTTGAACTCCAATTTTTCATTCATCCGTTTATCATTTTTGACCATTACACATGTGATTTCGATACTCACAAAGGATAACACAGATCAACTTTGATCTTTCAAATGGAACCAATGAATTCCACATAAAATTGTGCCAAAATTAAACTCCAAAGCCATTTTTCTTACTCCATGACAGTGTGTTGGGTATTGAAATTCCGTTTGACAAAGTCAATCTTAATCTTGCTCATTTAAGAAAAGTCGTGCAAGCCCTTATTTTCATATGTAGTCGATATGGAATTTATCCGTTACCAGGGTGGAGTTGATGCATTTTTCGTGTATTTTCAAGGTCAACTAGTATGCCTATCAAATTAGGTTGAATTGCCATGCTAAGCATGTTTTGTGGTGAACGTGCCCATTCACTCCACTATATATATATATATATTTTTTTTTTTTAAATTTATTTTATTTTATTTTATTTTATTTTTTTATTTTTTTAACTAAGAGATCAAATCCACTCAAAATGTAGTAGGCTCAAAATGCATTCCATTACAGCAAAACAGTTGAATTTGAATCCATCCAAACTCAAATCTCTTTATACCATTTTTTCTCACCAACTCCAACGTTTGTGTCTACACAACCATTTCTTGAATGCATGCTCAATTTCTTGATATCTTCGGATGTGTTCGGTGCAAGTACCTTTTTTCTCTCGCTAAACCTGTCCAATATTGTCTAATCCAGCCTACCAAACATGCCCTCAATTTTCGACCTGGAGGGGCGCAGTCCATGTACTTTCAGATTCCATGGGTTCAATGATGACGACTCCACCATCCGATAACCCTAAGGCAAACTGGTTTGCCTTTTGTGGATGAGCGGCAACCACCAGTGGATATACACGAGTTCTGCATCCACCATAACAAAAATCAAATTAAGCACCCTTGACATGAGTGAATGTCACACACACACAAAGTTGGATCACTGATGCTGAAGAACATGAATTCTGCCAGAATTTATGACAAATTGGCGAAGTAAATTACACTTTTTGCTCGTTGTCAAGAAAGGTAAAAATGCAGTTAAGCTCCATTTCGTTTTAGATTTATAAAAAATAAAATTCAGGAAAATATGTATTGGTATAGAAGGATTTTGTCCAGACTTTCCATCCCCTTTAACAGAACTAGATAGTCCTTTTGTCCGAAATTGCCAAAACTAATTAATTTTCTTGAGACATTTTTGTCAGCGAGACTTTACTATGGACACGTGCAGTTTTGCAAACATTGACTGGAGAAAGAGATGTGACTAAAAACCATGAATAATGCAACTAAATCATTGATACAGAATTGATTTTTTTATAAATTGTTGGTTGGGTCAAACGGATTCAACTATCAAGTACCTGATATGCTGTGGAAGGTAAGCAGAGGGATCAATCTCAAATCTTGGAACGAGATCTGAAGCACCGAGTATCAGAACAATTCCATCCCTCATGACAGTGTATAACAATTCAGCATCACAAGAAAATGCAGCATGGGCAATCCGTGCACAGAAGTTTCCAACGACCCACTGAAATTATAGCATACGTAAATTGTAAAGTCACGTGTATGACAGCATCGAAGCACTTCTCTTCTAAACGTGTCAAAGAGAGGAAGAGACCTGCTTAACACACTGTAGTTTTGTTGTTTCGTATATTGCAAGTTGAGTCTCATGTACAGCAAGAAAGTGTCTTTCATCCTTGTCAAATTGGACATGAGTCTCCGATAGTTCTGAAGGTAACCAACCGGAGGAAATCTCTAAAAATGTGTTGTTCTTTTTCTCCCACGTGATTGAATCCCATACAACAATCTGCAGAATAATGGAGGAAAAATAGATTATTTAAATATGTTTACGACAACAATCTTAAAGTTGGCAACCTCGAAAAAGTCGATCAATTGTATCTCTCTACGTCAAGATTGATTTTATTTTCAAACTTGGAAAATGTAGTATTCATAGAACTGTATGGTATAATAAACAAGATTTTAGTTTCTTTTTTCTTAGTTCATACAATCTAGTACTATACAATTCTCCCTACCAAGCAAGCCAATAGCGTCTAAATAATATATATTTGACAACCTGAGTTCATTTAAGCTGGTAAATAAATTATTATACTTGAAAACATTTATTGATTCACATTCAAAGGAGGAATCTGGCTGTCCTTCTGCACGATCAACCAATAGAATATATAGAATACCAACCTGAGCATCCAATCCAGAAGAGACAAGTACATTTAACACGGTTGAGAAAGAAAGGCTGCTAATTCTCTTAGAATGGCCCTTAAGCTTATTTGTCAACTGCAAAATGAAGGCAATGGCTAAATGCTGCACATTTCTTCTTAATCTTTCTAACTCTAATATAAGTGAATGTTGGACACATATATCATACCTCGTCCACACGGACATTATAGATGAGAATTGTTGAATCATCCATACCAATAGCGATTATGTTGTTATCAGGCGGATAGAAAACAATACATGTTGCTGCAGGTGGGGATTGCATGAAACTTCTCATTCTCTACAGTAATCGAGCAAATTGGAAATGGTAGGTTAGTTATTTCTATATGTCGAGCATCCTAAAGTTCAATGATATGAGAGCTCTAAGTTAGGTGCTACCCTGTGAATTGAACATAGAACATTTTGCCAATCTTTCACAAGCATCCAAAGCAGCTACAACTTTTAGTATTACCTTAAAAATCAACATGTTGAACAAAGAAACCATCTTTCCAGATGCTGAGACAACATAAGAATCATTCTTGGACAAACAAAAGCACGGTGAGACTAAGTCGATGTTACTTTCGGGAAGGTCATTGATCATCAGCAACCCACTCTTTGGTTGCCACAGTTGAGGGACACACTTTGTAGTTGCCTGTTGCAGCAAATACTCAGTTACTCTTTAAACAATGACTGGCTGATCAAATCGAAGATACATATATACAAGCACTTGCATAGGTGCAGAGAGAGAGAGAGAGAGAGAGAGGCTCAAAATGCATTCCATTACAGCAAAACAGTTGAATTTGAATCTATCCAAACTCAAATCTCTTTATACCATTTTTTCTCACCAACTCCAACGTTTGTGTCTACACAACCAGTTCTTGAATGCATGCTCAATTTCTTGATATCTTCAGACGTGTTCGGTGCAAGTACCTTTTTTCTCTCGCTAAACCTGTCCAATATTGTCTAATCCAGCCTACCAAACATGCCCTCAATTTTCGATCTGGAGGGGCGCAGTCCATGTACTTTCAGATTCCATGGGTTCAATGATGACGACTCCACCATCCGATAACCCTAAGGCAAACTGGTTTGCCTTTTGTGGATGAGCGGCAACCACCAGTGGATATACACGAGTTCTGCATCCACCATAACAAAAATCAAATTAAGCACCCTTGACATGAGTGAATGTCACACACACACAAAGTTGGATCACTGATGCTGAAGAACATGAATTCTGCCAGAATTTATGACAAATTGGCGAAGTAAATTACACTTTTTGCTCGTTGTCAAGAAAGGTAAAAATGCAGTTAAGCTCCATTTCGTTTTAGATTTATAAAAAATAAAATTCAGGAAAATATGTATTGGTATAGAAGGATTTTGTCCAGACTTTCCATCCCCTTTAACAGAACTAGATAGTCCTTTTGTCCGAAATTGCCAAAACTAATTAATTTTCTTGAGACATTTTTGTCAGCGAGACTTTACTATGGACACGTGCAGTTTTGCAAACATTGACTGGAGAAAGAGATGTGACTAAAAACCATGAATAATGCAACTAAATCATTGATACAGAATTGATTTTTTTATAAATTGTTGGTTGGGTCAAACGGATTCAACTATCAAGTACCTGATATGCTGTGGAAGGTAAGCAGAGGGATCAATCTCAAATCTTGGAACGAGATCTGAAGCACCGAGTATCAGAACAATTCCATCCCTCATGACAGTGTATAACAATTCAGCATCACAAGAAAATGCAGCATGGGCAATCCGTGCACAGAAGTTTCCAACGACCCACTGAAATTATAGCATACGTAAATTGTAAAGTCACGTGTATGACAGCATCGAAGCACTTCTCTTCTAAACGTGTCAAAGAGAGGAAGAGACCTGCTTAACACACTGTAGTTTTGTTGTTTCGTATATTGCAAGTTGAGTCTCATGTACAGCAAGAAAGTGTCTTTCATCCTTGTCAAATTGGACATGAGTCTCCGATAGTTCTGAAGGTAACCAACCGGAGGAAATCTCTAAAAATGTGTTGTTCTTTTTCTCCCACGTGATTGAATCCCATACAACAATCTGCAGAATAATGGAGGAAAAATAGATTATTTAAATATGTTTACGACAACAATCTTAAAGTTGGCAACCTCGAAAAAGTCGATCAATTGTATCTCTCTACGTCAAGATTGATTTTATTTTCAAACTTGGAAAATGTAGTATTCATAGAACTGTATGGTATAATAAACAAGATTTTAGTTTCTTTTTTCTTAGTTCATACAATCTAGTACTATACAATTCTCCCTACCAAGCAAGCCAATAGCGTCTAAATAATATATATTTGACAACCTGAGTTCATTTAAGCTGGTAAATAAATTATTATACTTGAAAACATTTATTGATTCACATTCAAAGGAGGAATCTGGCTGTCCTTCTGCACGATCAACCAATAGAATATATAGAATACCAACCTGAGCATCCAATCCAGAAGAGACAAGTACATTTAACACGGTTGAGAAAGAAAGGCTGCTAATTCTCTTAGAATGGCCCTTAAGCTTATTTGTCAACTGCAAAATGAAGGCAATGGCTAAATGCTGCACATTTCTTCTTAATCTTTCTAACTCTAATATAAGTGAATGTTGGACACATATATCATACCTCGTCCACACGGACATTATAGATGAGAATTGTTGAATCATCCATACCAATAGCGATTATGTTGTTATCAGGCGGATAGAAAACAATACATGTTGCTGCAGGTGGGGATTGCATGAAACTTCTCATTCTCTACAGTAATCGAGCAAATTGGAAATGGTAGGTTAGTTATTTCTATATGTCGAGCATCCTAAAGTTCAATGATATGAGAGCTCTAAGTTAGGTGCTACCCTGTGAATTGAACATAGAACATTTTGCCAATCTTTCACAAGCATCCAAAGCAGCTACAACTTTTAGTATTACCTTAAAAATCAACATGTTGAACAAAGAAACCATCTTTCCAGATGCTGAGACAACATAAGAATCATTCTTGGACAAACAAAAGCACGGTGAGACTAAGTCGATGTTACTTTCGGGAAGGTCATTGATCATCAGCAACCCACTCTTTGGTTGCCACAGTTGAGGGACACACTTTGTAGTTGCCTGTAGCAGCGAATACTCAGTTACTCTTTAAACAATGACTGGCTGATCAAATCGAAGATACATATATACAAGCACTTGCATAGGTGCAGAGAGAGAGAGAGAGAGAGAGAGATTAATAATAAGTGAATATACCTTTCCGCTAGAGAGAGAGAGAGAGAGAGAGGGAGGGAGGGAGATTAATAATAAGTGAATATACCTTTCCGCTCAAATTAGAATCATTTTTTGACCACCTCCAAAGTAGATGAATCCCATCTTCTGCCAATGCCAAAATGCCATTACCTGCATGAGTGTATAACAACCTCCGAATCTGCAATCATCAAATGTGATGCTATAAGTAACTCTCTTCTTATCTCTCTTTCCCCCCCTTTTTCCCAAAGGATACAAGTGAGGAGGAAACAAAGCAGTTCGAAAAGATGAAATAGTCCGATCCTCAATTAAACAAACGTTTTCATATTCTGAAGAAAAGTTAGAGCAATTTATGGTCAAGAATAATTATAATATTCCACTGCCACATTTGGTCTTCATATAGATAGATATATGACTCATGGTGAGATTGCTTAAAAATACATTTTATGCTATAATTATTTATGAAATCACTAAGCAAAAAGTATTTCCCACTTAGTCCTCAATCCAAGATATGGAAAGGGAGAAAAATATAGGCTACTACAATGTGAGTCGCTATCCAGATCATCCAATTCTATGATGCTCGGATTTGGGTACTAGTATCGGGTACGGGTACGTATTCTTTTATTTTCTAAAATGTACAATACGGGGACATCGCTAAAAAGAGTCCAAATTTTAAACACGAGGTACGTCTTTGTATGTCTTTCAAGTTTCAATTTTTTTTATTAACCCAATATGTCATTTTGAATGGATCAAAATCAATTATTCAAAAAAAAAAGGAAATGAGTATTAAATAAGAGGTTAAGATGAATAAAATAAAATTTTGGAGTTTAATTTTTATTTATGGGAAGTTCATTACTAAATGTTATATAAAATAGAAAATGATGAACTTGATTGCAATTTGGACTTAGTAGAGCAGTAAGTAACATACATGGAACCTGTTTTTTATACAAACAAAATCCTAAACCATCGATACAAAAAGAGAAAGAAGGAAAAAAAAAGGAAGAAAAGGGAAAGAAAAAAGAAAGAAGAAGGGAAAACCTAGAAAATTTTTATTTATGGGAAGTTCATTACTAAATGTTATATAAAATAGAAAATGATGAACTTGATTGCAATTTGGACTTAGTAGAGCAGTAAGTAACATACATGGAACCTGTTTTTTATACAAACAAAATTCTAAACCATCGATACAAAAAGAGAAAGAAGGAAAAAAAAAGGAAGAAAAGGGAAAGAAAAAAGAAAGAAGAAGGGAAAACCTAGCGTCGTCGCCTTTCTCTACCCTCTCGGAGCCGGCACTAAGTTTATTGAGAGTGGGAATGGGAAAGAAAATGAGAAAAAAAAGAAGAAAGAATAAGAAGCAGCAAAAACGGCGAAATATCCGGTTGAAATTTAGAGAATCCGACACATATCTCATAGCCATACCCATGTTGTATCGTGTCCAACACAGGTATTCCGACCATTTCGAAAAGTCCGAGCATCAGAGATTCAATTAACATAGGTATGAAGATAAACACAGTGCAAATACTTTATACTGAGCAAGGCATGCATCTTTTATACTAATTATAGCACTCAAAAAGTATCATCTTCGATTTCACAATAATAAGTGTTGATAATGAATGGTAGAAGAAATAGTGATGATGAATTGAAGTACTTTGTTCATACACTTAAAGGCTGAGAATTTGATTCCCCCTTGTGCAAATAGAGACTTTAGGTAACTAGTATATTAATATGAGGTCTTTTCAGTTACCTTTTTTGTCTCGACTTTGGAAGTGAGTTGCAAGGAACGACAACGTGAGACCTCGACGATTTTAGAAATGTTCTGCATCTCCAATTTGTTACCCTGCTCCACAGACTTTTCATTTTCCAAATTACCTGGAGCTTTGTCCTGTGATAAGCAATCAATTTTCTATATGTAAACTACACTGTTTCCAATCTAAAATGCTGGAGTCTAAAGGTGTGTTAGGTAAGGTGGGCTTTAAAGATTAGACAGTACTAGTGAAGAAAAAAGAGTCTAAAATCTTTTACATAGTATTCAGTCCTGTCCAATACTGCCCACCATACATGCTCTAGAGGTACAAATTCCATTTTGTAATATGATACTAATGAGATCTTTAAAACTGCAAATGACATTTTGTAATATGATACTAATGAGATCTTTAAAACTGCAAATGAGCGAAAGTGCAAAATAGAACGAACTCTTTGAGGACCACTTGCCACAGGGACATCTCCTTGTGCGATTCTAGTTTTAGCAGGAAGAGGAATCGAATCAACAGCAAGCTGTACCGAATAATAAAAGTAAGTAGTAGTACTTTTCTGCAGAAGAAAAACTGTAGAAGGATTTAGATGCTGACCTTTTTCGAGGACTTCGATAGGAATTCAGAGGAATCACTGGAAACAAAGGTAAAAGTTTGAAGCAACTGATGGCCACGATGGTTGGCCAAGATTTTGATTCTATTGTGATCTGAGAAAACAGCCAATAGAGTGCCTTCCTTGTTGAAGCAAATATATGGGCTTGCCTTGAATATCAGAATAGAGGCAGACAAGAACATCAAATAACCATTTTGTTCGGGTATTAAGCCAATGATATTTGAAGATAGAGCATGACTTTGGTACATGGTATTGGACACTAGTACTCTATAGTAAATTTTGTTTCTTCTCTATTGGTGTCCAATCCAGTATACCAAACATGAAATATAAGTTATAACTTGCAAGATAAGTAGAATAATTCAACAGTAATGAAGCACATACTGGTAAACCTCCATCTGCATCAATGACTGCCAAAATATCTGCATTGTCCATGTCCCAAACTTTGATCACATGCTCATCACCAGCGGCTAAGAACTTATTATTGCTTGTATCAAATTGAACCTGCCCTGATGCAAGTTGACAAAGTCCGCGGTAGTTCCTCATAACAAAACCTTCACTCTGATTCCATTCAACTAAATACGACCCTCCATCTTTATTAGTCCCACATGAGAAAAGCCTAGCAAGGATTAAAACAACTCAGTTTGGATAGGACAATATTAATACAGTAAAGTTGTCCAGTCCTAATCACCTTTTACCATCAGTACTATAAGACATTCTCGTGGGACATAAACCAGGAGCAGCATATGTAATCCTTGATCCCATATTGTCAAACAACCATGCTTTCATCTGACCACTTGTTGATATCGAAAACACGAACTGAGACACAAGGAAATTACATTTGAGGTCTTGAGACACGTTTGAATATGTTACTTGTAACCGACTTTAAACACAAAAGAATTATATAAAGTTAAAAACAAACTTCTAAATATATGAACATTTTTTAGGCTTAGCCAAACATGCACATTACCTAGAGATGAATTAAAACAATAAAAAAATAAAGTGGCAACAGCATCAATTGAATTCTTACATGAATATTTTCGTTCTCATGAGGGCATAAAGAGTATACAGGAGCTCCATGACCTTCAAACGTAAACTGTTTGGCACCAGTCACAGTATCCCACACCTTGCACCAGCAACAACATAATTTGTTGATTTCCGAAAGATATATTTCAACTACTTAAAACACAAAAACCAACCTGAATCAACTTATCATCACCGCAGCTTATGGCAACAAGTTTGTTGTATGGTTTAGCGAATGCCAGATCATTTACACTGCCATCATGTGCATCAATCTGAGAAGTGAAAGTCAACATCAGAAGGAAACCAGGAACTCCAAATTATGAGTAAAATAAAAGCTATTAAACTCTACCTCCAAATGTTTTTCAGTGTAATTTTCGCTATAGTGGTAAGAATATAACTGCACTAGATTTTTGGAGTACGCAATGCCTGATATTAACAATGAAACTCAGGTTTAAAACAAGCACTACAAACAAGTAGATAACAGGAATCAAAGTCCTTTTAATAGTTGTTGACTTCACCAAATAGTAATCCATCTGGGCTCCACAGAATACGATTGACAGAAATGTGTGGGTTATTCACCATATCCTCCTGAATGAAGAGTGGTAGAAATTACAATATCAGACAATTTACTTGTTACCAAAAGTGAGAGTATAATGGAAAAGAATGGATATACCAAAAACATTGCCGAGATTGTTTTTACTTCCCAAACCATAAATTGCCTCGTGAACAACTTCTTTGCCGAAGTAACATTCCACAGTTCTATGCCTCCGGTATTATTTCCAACTAAAAGAAATAAATAAGCAGTATTTAATGAGTTTCAAGAAACAAAATATTTAAGCAAGATATGAAATAGCACTCCAACATCTTTCCCAGAATAGATCAACCTAATAGAAGAGTCTGTTGAACAGGGTGAAAATCTATGCTGGATGGAGAAGAGCCCATATCTAAAACTCGTTCAACAGTCGCAGGAACGTCATAAGGTGTTTCCTTTATGGGTGACACTACCTGCATATGCATAAAACACATTTAAGGAAAATCATTTTTGAGAAGAAAATCCCCTTAGTTTACTTGTATCATGGAAAGGAAGGCACATAAGATGTCGCTAACATATATGGTTCCTCACATAAAGATTAATCACCTCATTCAAAGTCACCGTAGACCTTATCTTAGAGGTATCACCAAAATCTGTATTCCCATCCAGAGATTCTGCTGCCAAACTCATTATATAGAATGTGGTCAAACACAATATAAATGAAACAGATGACACTTAAATACTAGGTAAAATTCAGTAACTACCTTGGTTGGTTAGATTTCTAAGATTCATGGTTCCATCAGAAATTGCAGATTCCGTCACTGTGGATGAATTACAAGTTGGCTTGGCTGAGACAGGTAATATAGACTCTGGCATGGGTGTGGAGGGCTGAACAGAATATCAAATCAAGCATTAGAAGAGAAACAGCTGCAGGTATCCATAAAGAAATGGATCAGGTTACAAGGACAGGGCATAAGATAATAAGATAAATTGTTTTTCAGCTAAAATCTTACCGACGGATTTCCCTCATTTAATTGATCCTGTAAATGTAAATGATCTGGTCCTGGACACTTATGATCCGTAAATAGAGTGTCAATATGAGGCTGCGGATGAGGATGTGTACAATGAAGGTGCTGCCAGTTCAAACTGTATGTTGTGAAATAAAATCGGTTGCTCCAGGATCATAAATGGGTCGGGTATACAAACTTAACATAAAGAATTAACCAGAATAGCAAATAGCTAATTGCTTCAGCTGATAAAAACAGGCGTTGATTTTCAAATAACATATTAAACATGGAAAAGGAAAAGAAATACCTCTGGTTGATCAAACGTCTTAACCTCGACTTATTAATTTGAGGGAATTTTGTTCTTCCCCGGAGAAGGGGATTTGCCTCAATGACGATGGTGAGTTCGTTCATCATCTGTTTTCTAGCAGACATTGTATCTCCATATGAGGAGAGTGAACCATGCTCCCTATTAATTCATCACGTACTTTGTGTTACTTGTAAAATAGTGTACTACATCCAAAACTCGGCATATTTACGACTCTTAAAAGTACATCACACACCTGAAGTCATCTAATGTAAGAAGCTGAGTGATTTCTTTGTAGAGTTCTTTGTTTGATTGGGCAAAAACTTTGAGATCTTTGCGAAGGATGTCTAAAGCCACTGCATGATCATGCCTATCCAAAATTTTTATATGCATACATGAATGACCGCATGAAATTCACAAAACAATAACTCAAAATGGTTCATTAAACCATGAACTTACTTGTCCAGTGCCTCGAGAAACTTTTGCTTCCTAATCTCAAAATAAATCTTTGTCGAGTACTTGTTGTCTTCAACTCCTGTGAAACTCAAAAGATATTTCTCAGACTCCTCCCAGTTCCCATTCAGCACCAGGTCTTCAAAATATTTCATGTCGAAGAAATAACCCGTCTCCTGCTCAAGCCTGTTTGAGAATTTGCAAGATAAGTTGGTGATATCAACTGAAATCCGGTCGAAAAGACAGATATTATAACTCACATGTGAGCAGTCCTCTTGAGGTTTTCCTCATTACAGAACTGTAAGATCAAGAAGATAAGGTCTTTGCTTAGAGACATCGCCGTAGTAACACTTTCCTTTCTGCAAAACCTTAATATAATTATTAGACAGCAAACAAACCTTTAAGTTCACGATAATATGCGTACCATAAATTCAGTCTGTTAAATACACACTTATGGTAAAACACTAGTGCATCTCTACAAATCACCATTCAATTCATACGAAAACATTAGAAGTACTGAAATTGTTTATTTACGCATTGAGCATTTGGAAAATGTCTTTCTCTACAAATCACCATTCAATTCATACGAAAACAATAGAAGTACTGAAATTGCTTATTTAAGCATTGAGCATTTGGAAAATGTCTTTTGGGGAACGGTTGCAAAACTTCTGAATCAATGACCAGAATAATTTGTCATTTATTAAGGCCTAATCCCTACCTCTAAAAGCAACTGAAAACGATTGTTCACATAGATTTATAGTAGCTAACAAACTCAATGTGACAGCTAGATCGACTAGCAGCTCTAGGTTTCACTATATCTCTCTGTCTCGCAGAAAATGCCCCCTGAAAATCCTTCGAATATCATAGACATTAGGGTGATCTATTACAAATATGGAATATTCAACATAATCCATCAAAATTCGAGAAAAAAACTCGGGTGGAGAAAAAGGACATGTACTTGGAATCAAATGATAATGGAGTTTTCACTAGATCTCTCTCTATCTTTTAGTCTTTGAGGATCAGTATGAATTGAATTTTCAAAATGATATGCAAAACAAAAAAGCAGAAAAGGGTATTTATACAACTTAGAATTGTCATTGAACAATATTGAGGAAATTGAGTTCCCAAGAATAAATCCAAAGCCATATGCGTAAAAGAGACGCATATGTACATTGATGCACACGTATAAAGATGCACATACGTGTCTATACATACATATATAGAAGACTCAAGGACTATAGCAAAATAATTAAGCACGTAAGAACAATTGAATTCCAGTTGATTGATTAGGAATTTTGAAATAAAAAATTCAGAAAAATTGGGAAATAAAACTTGCAACTGTAATTATACTCGAAATAATTAAAATCAGTAAAATTAAAATCCATATGAAGCCCACGATACCAATTGAGTAAAGTAAAGTTAAAAAAGGTATTAAATCAATCTTAAGCAATTTAAAATAAGCTGGAAAAAAATTATAATTAGAATACATGCAGATTCAAGAAACCCTCTTCATCACAGCATCAAATGAATCGAGAGATAAAGATCATATACAAAGATCAACAACCCAGCTGCAAATTAAAGGGTTTTAATTCTTTCGTATCCTTGATTTCATCGGTTAAAATAAAAAAAAGGAAAGAAAGTAAAAAACAGTAAAAGAAAAGAAGCAAAAATGGAGTTGAAATGCTTACCTTTTTACTGGAAAAGGAAAAGACTGAACTGAATACAAAGTTCTTTCCATCTGTATACTGAGAAAATGCTTGGTCTATATAGAAAACGATGCTTCCAATGTGATAAGAAACTCTACTTATCTGATAAGTTGGTGTCACGTCGGGTGTGTGTGGAGACTGATTAATGCAGAAATCTCTGTCTTAGTCAACGTTTTTCCTGTTGAAATAACGTTAACAATTGCCCCCCTGCATGAAAAATATATTAAAAAAAACAAATAATTTTTAACTGATAAATGATAATTATTAATTAGGAGTAACACTTCTTAATAATACTCACATATTGATATAGCAAGACCGTTGAAAATCTTGTATAGTACAAGGAATTGTAAATTTATCGTTTTTTTCTATTCTTATTGAGTTTGAATCTAAATTCTTAGATGTTTCGATATACTAATTCTTTTTACGTCAGAATCTTTGCTCTCATTCATTTCCACATATGTTATGTGCTGAAAGATAAGAATGCTTAGTCAAATCATTTACAAATATATACCACTTTAAGATTTTATTTTATTTTTAAATTTTTTGCCCTTTTTAACTTTTAGGTTCTTATTATATAAAGTAAAAATATAAATAAATTAATTAAAATTTTTAGACGAAAACCTGAAAAAATAAAGAATAGATCATGTAATACCCTAATCTTTACATGTTTTGCGCGTGTTTGTGCGAAACCCACAAAGCGTATCAAATCATTGATAAGTAATAGATTTAGTGAATTGAGAGTATCATCTCACAGGAAGTAAATTTAACTCAAGTTTACTAATTTCTTATGGAATTCAAATTATGTAAAAAAAAGAGAATTTATTTTTGTGATTATTTTAAGAAAGTGGTAAAATTAGGATTTGTATCAAATATTTATGATTGTATTGGATGTAGAATTCGCCTATTGCTATCGAATACAATTCTTGATTTATAATCTAGTTCTTTTCATGTGTTATTGACATATCAATAGAACTATGATATATAATTTTCTTTTCTACTATCCAAATCATGAGCCCAAATTCGAATGGTTAGAACACATTAAAATTTGGATTATCTATATGATTGAACATGTGATAAATGTTATTCTTAATATTTATTGCAAATATGTTAATTTTATCGCTTTTTAAATTTATTATGAGTCTCCCAACATTACAACAAACAAATAATTATCTAATTGATGACCGAACAATAAAATAATGCAATGAATATGCAAAATTAATCAAGAAACACAAAAAATACTAAACTACTAGTCTTACATATCAAAATAAATAATAAAGGGTTTATAAGAGCCAGAATATGGGTCAAAATCATGTCCAACTTGGGTTCCAAAAAAGTTTGAATCGTGTAAGGAAACTGTTGATTTATCTGTGAAAATGGACTGTACGAGCATAGGCATAACCACTGAGCGTGCACCATTGATACAAATGGCTCTCGGGTCAAAATTTTAGTGTCTTCCACACACGCTAGAATTGTCCCCGAGAACGCCGATTTCGTGATGTCGTCCCTAAACAGTTTCGGTATTTTAGTCATAACGTTCTCAATCGAAATTCGATTTAGATGATTCAAAGTGTGTTGGAAAGCTAATTTAAAGGGTAAAATTCTTCTTGAAATACAATTTTTTCAATTCGAACATTTGCTATATCCGAAAAATGGGATCTCAAGTTGAGGCTAAAAATCTGGAGCATAATTTTTTCGGTTGGAAATTGATTTGTGAAAATATTTCAACTATATTTCATTCATTTGACTTTAAATTGCATTTAATTGGTCATATGTGATCTTCAATTTGAAAGCTCAAGAATAGCTAACCAATGGGGGTAAATTGATTTTCAAGACTTTTTTCAAAAATTAATTCAGATCTTAAATCAATGTAATAGCAAATGAAACAATTAGACAAATATGCACAAATACACACAAACACAAAGTCAAATAAGAACAAGTAACGATCACAATATAAAAGCGGTGAATGAGAGAGAGAGGGGGGGGATGCAAATGATATAATTGTGGAGGTTCAATTCAAGACAATGATCTACGTTTTTCGTTACCAAACTCTCCAACACGAGCAAGACCTTTTCACTGTATTGATTGACTTATGGAGTAATCAAACCCTTTACAATGCTTTCAGTGACTTACAAACAATGAGCATCGATCCTTATACAGTGCTGAGTTTTACGAGATGTCAACATGACCCATACTATTGAGTTTTACGGGATCTCAAAATGACCCACATTATATCAAAGTGATTTTACAATAAAATCATCTCTTGATAAATAATACAAAACAAATTAAGTACTAAGAGAGGCTAATACTTCAATGAATAGTAATAAATATAGCTCAAGTGTTAAATGAAAATTTTCGATAAATATGATAATTAAAGGTCAGATTCAATCAATCAAAGTATTTCAATGAGAAGATTATGAAGAAATAAATGCAATGTAAGTTAAAAAAAAAAAAAATCTTAACAAATATCTCTCTTTAAATGAATGGTTGTAAAAAGTTAAGTACTAACAGAAATAAGAAATTTTGAAGAATATGATAATTGTACAAATTTGGTTCAATCAATCAAAGTGTTTCAATGAAAAGATTATGAAGAAATAAATGCAATGTAAGTTTAAAAAATCTTCTCAACAAATATTTCTGTTTAAATGAATTTATTATAATAAATTGAGTACTAAAAAAATAAGAAAATGATGATTGTACAAATTTGATTCAATTAATCAAAGTTTTTATTATAAAGAAGTAGAAATGATTATGCAATATAAGTTCAAAAACCTTTTTCAAAAATATCAAGATTGATATAAATAAGTTAAGAAAAAAGAGAGATGAAATATTTTGATGAGAAAAATTGATTCCAAAAATTTGATTCGACAATCAAAGTTTTTGTTATGAAGAAATAAATGAAATAAAAATAAAAATGTAAGCTTAAAGAAGATTTTTCACAAATATATTTTACAAGAAAGCTCTCTTCATAGTTGTTGTGATGAATGAAAGTGAAATGGTATTTATATCATTCAAAATGGAAAAGTTCTACCAATCGGATGTCCGCTTGTGAACCGGACGACCAAATTAGCCGTTGTGTGTCAAAAGTCAGAACGGTTAAAAAATCTAACCGTTGGTGAACCGGACTCTGCTTGACCATTGACTGTAGATTTTTTTTTTTTTTTGCGTGATTTAAATTCAAGTATGACTTTGAAAAAATCAATCTTATTTTTGATTAAAATATTTTATGCAAGTAATAGTGAAAATAACTTTTCGTGCACAAAATGATTTTTGAGTTATTGTCATTTATTACTAAAGATCAAGGTGTTATACTTTTACATATGATCTAGAAGGCATAGTCTTTGATCTTGCTTCGAAGTTTCTTTCATATTTGGTTCTTGAACTTCTCGTTTTGATCTTTCTTTGATGCCGTCCCTCATGCTCTTGATCTTTCTTGGCATCTTGATCTTTATTGACATTTATCTTCTAAACTCTTGTCTCAAATGATTTGACTTGAATACTTAACTTTCACTCCGATCTTCATTTCAATTCCGATATATAATGTTTGATTAATTTTAACATTGAACTATCATCACTCAAAACAAATTGTTAGAAATAATATTAATCCTGTTTGTTATGATCAAAACATTGAGAATGAAGTTGACCATATGCCAACACAATTATCACTTTATGGTCCGAATAAACTATTGAATGTTTATACTTTGGTCCTCAAATTTTGAATTTCATTTGTTTGCCCCCTTTTCGTTCATTTTTTCGATTCCACCAATTTGCATTGACTTCAACCTAACAAACGCAATTAACACATAATTAAATTATAACTCATTCAAATCACTAACAAATACTTCAATTTATTGGCTTAGATAAGTGACAAAATACACTTATTAATGCAAAATAAGTAAATAACCGTATGTTTTTAAGGAAATTTTTAGCATTTTGGTGAGATATGTAAAAATTGGAGTTATTTTGACAAAAAAAAAAACCCCCTTGGACATTTTAGTGAATTGAAGAGCACACGACCAGCTAATAGATAAATTTTAATAGAGTTGGATCGTATAATTGTATTTCGCAACGTTTGCCCGATCTACGAGGTGTTGCGCCAAAATGAAAGCATATGATTGTTTTGTGAACATGTGAATATTAGGATTTTTGTGTCAATTTTAGTTTTTCTATTAAGGGCACAAAACACTATTGGCCAATCCATCCAAAGCTTATCTAAAAACTATGCCCAATAAGTAAGCAAAAGAAAAAAAAATGAGATTGTTTTCCGCGGGTTAGTCGCTAACAATTAAAAAGGGGATCAGACGATTGTGTAAGGGACAAACCTCTTGAGACAAAGTCCTAAAAAGAGGTGTTTTTATTGGCGATAACTTTACAATTGAAAAATAAAACAGAATGCCTCCAAGGGGCGCAAGTACACGAGTTACTGAAAAGAAGTGTTTTAAATCTAAACTAAGAAATTGAAAGTTACATATTCTCTATTTGAGAGTGTTTGATTCGGAGTCTTTTGCTCTATGTCTTTTCTTCCTTTTATACTCCCTGGATGATCTCTTCATGATCAACAGCTTAAAAACTGCTTGATCGCTCTATAACTGCCCATTTTCTTCATAGTGGCCAACTTGTCATGGAACTGCCTTCTCTAACTGCTGTCATTATTTTTTGTCGTTCAACCGTCTTCAATTGAATTCCTTGAATCGTGGAACGTGATAGGCAATCAATCAAAGTATTTCAATGAGAAGATTATGAAGAAATAAATGCAATGTAAGTTAAAAAAAAAAAAAATCTTAACAAATATCTCTCTTTAAATGAATGGTTGTAAAAAGTTAAGTACTAACAGAAATAAGAAATTTTGAAGAATATGATAATTGTACAAATTTGGTTCAATCAATCAAAGTGTTTCAATGAAAAGATTATGAAGAAATAAATTCAATGTAAGTTTAAAAAATCTTCTCAACAAATATTTCTGTTTAAATGAATTTATTATAATAAATTGAGTACTAAAAAAATAAGAAAATGATGATTGTACAAATTTGATTCAATTAATCAAAGTTTTTATTATAAAGAAGTAGAAATGATTATGCAATATA